TCAGAAGAGTGAACAAATCTTAAAAGGGAAAAATACATATATAATGTAGCATTAAAATATAATTTCAAAATTAAGAAACTAGTCACAATCACAGAATGTCACATACACAAATTATAAATTTTATAGGTTATAACTTATTTATCGATTATAAATTATCAAATTAATTGACCACGCATTATTTATCGATCACAAATCAATGGGTAACAACTTATTTATCGATATCAAATCAATGGGTCACGCATTATTTCTTGGTTACAACTTATTTCACGATGACAAATTATCAAATTAATTGGTCACAACTTTCTTCAAGGTAACAAATTATACAACACATACCAAATTATACAGTCGCTTGAATTGGAAAGACGTGAAAGAACGTCAAATGCCCATTGACATCCCTATTATACAACACATACCAACTTGTTTGGCCGAGCTCACTGGAAAGGAAGGGTGATATGTTGAGGACAAGGACTATGCTGAAGCTGTTAAAGAAAACAAGGTCGATTTGAAATGGGAAGTTAGAAGATAAAGATGGGTTGAGGAAAGAAGTGAAGCACTTGGATTGGAAGGTAAGGGACAGACCCAATCTAGTGGAGGGATTTCTTTGAGGGTGCAAGGGCTACAGTTTGTAAGACATTTGGAGGAACTGGGTATGATTATAAGGTGATCTTGAAATAGAGATAGTAGGATTTCTGAAACATTTATAATTCAAAAAACCTTAGTCTGTTGAGAAGTCCTCTTTGTTAAACCACTGTGCGCCTTCAACTCATCGAAGTCAATTCTTTTTAAAGAATTTTACTTCTTTGAGCAATCCCATTAATTAAGAAATTTCCTGATATCAAGGTCCCAAGAAAAGCTTTATAACAAATGCTACTTTTCTATTAGACCTCGCTTCACTAAACTCTTCAAAATTGAAACTTGCCAATTAATAGATTAAAAAAATCCTTCTCAGAATACAGAAACGTATGTAAGTGAATGGCAAGAATAATACCCTATCTACCGTGTATCTTTGTGCATACACACAGAGGTTGCATACACATAACTTCCTGTATAAAATGTCTGTTTATTAATTAGAGTCGGTATATGCACTTATGTATATAAATCCATTAGGAATGAGTCTGTGTACACATAAATATACACCCGCAGATGATTATATACGTTAAAACTATATAATATCATAATTTTAGAGAGAGAGGAAGAGACAGACCAAAGGTTCTCCTTTGTGGAAGAGATTGGAGATCTGATTAGAGGTTTGAGTAGGGCTTTTTTTAGGTCCGAAGAATTTGGATGCGAAATACCAAAACACTGCCACTCTTATAATTCCCGTCAGCATCTGTCCAACACCCTGCTGCTGCCGTTGTTGCTGCCTCCCTCCTCCTCCTCCTCCTTCTCCTCCTCCACCAACAACAACACCACCACCACCTTCTGTTGCCGGCTGTGCCATCCCTTTTCCTTTTTTCTTTATTAGAGCAAAAGATAGTTGCCAAACTAGCTTTTTTGAATCTAATGACTCGCCACCGCCACAGTTATACAGCGAAGCTGATACTTTTGTGCTATTGTCGATGAGATCATAGTGGGCATATATAGCCGAGTTGGAGACGGCCACGCAAGTTGAGCAAACTGGAATTGGGTAAATTATGCCAATGATCCTTGAACTTTTTTTCTTAAAAACAATAGAGTTTTTAACTGTTATATTTGTCGTTAGGTTAAAAACAATCTTATTTGTTATCGTTGAGTATCAACGTGTCATTAAATGTAACCCGGGTAAGAAATGTAATACAATTTTATTTTTTATTAGATTTTTCTGCTTAAATCTTTTTGGTTAATCACGCGTTTCTTATGACGATTTTTGTTAACTTGGTATAATAAGAAATGTCGCTCGATGACACTGTGACGCTTTCTGACTTTGATGCTTTTCTTTATCGAGTGATCATTAATAATCGTTAAAATTCGGTAACTATTATCATAAAAAGATCATTTAAGTGACTATTTATATAATTACTCAAAACTTAACCAATTAATCTAATTGAACACTAATACTTGCAGGGGACAATGAAAAAGAAAGACAAATTCCATTTGGGATCTCCAAGTTTGTTTAGTGTTGCAAATACTTTTCAACCTTTTAAAAGAAGCAATTAGGTCCCAATCTTTTAATTGTGTAGCACTTGAATTCTTATTTGAAGGAAAACTGTACGTTTAACTATTATAAAGTTAGTTTGTGTATCAAATCGCCTAATATACATTTATTTTGATTTTAAAAAAAAAAAAGGAACAAGAAGAANACGTAAAAAATGGGACGTTATTGTGAAGAATATTATAAATTGTATATAATAACTTATTTATATTACAAAATAGAAGACCCTATTTATAGGGTTATAAATAACTGTAAAATTAAATAAACATAAAAGGAAAGATTACATAATCAACTACTAAGGAAAATAATCTTACACTAAAAGGAAATATTATAATGGAAAATATTATAAAGATTATTTTTCTATATCTTCAACATCCCCTCCTCAAGATGGACCATGTTGACTTGATTATGGCCATCTTGGACTTTAGGGAAAAGAACCTGAGATGCAAAAATCGGAATTTTACTCCATTGAGCACCAACTGCATAATCCAGCACAAATTGCTCGGAAAGAGCTGCTGAATCCTTTGGAGCATTCCATGAGGTTGAAATTGAATCTGAATTACCATGTTGTTGGTATTGACACCTATCCTTGAGGTCATTCCCAATGGCGGATGATCTGAAGCCAAAGTTATCTTCAGATTTGATATCCATAATAGGAGAAAAAATAGACCATGGATCGGAATAATTCCATGAAAAACTCTCAACAATGGCGGAATAACACATTGATGGAGCTGACATCCTCCGTTCTTGCTGTACATGCAGGAATTGAAACCGGAGGCTCAGAGATTAAAAAGTCAGGAGCAGCTGGAATGACCATCAGCTGTTGAAACTTGAGTAAAATTCAGGAGTAGCTGGAATGAACACGAGTTGTTGAAACTGAGTAAAATTCAGAAGTACCTGGAATGAACATCGGCCGTTGAAACTGACTAAAATTCAGATTTGAACGAAGTTCCCAATGGAGAATCTGATGAATTCGACTCTGATGAAGATTCTGATGGAAGTGATGAAGAGACACCAAACAAGGCTGACCAAAGTAGCCCACGAATATAAAATGTCACAGCTGTGGTTCTTCTATTCCTGGAAATGGCCTATAGAGATTCCGAGTCTACGTCTATAGTTTGCTGTGATATCTGCCAATGCTGGGTGCCCTGTCCGTGTGATGGGATCAGTGATGCGAAGTACATGCAATTTCAAGCAGATGGAAATCTGCAGTATGTATGTCCAGCATGCCGGGAAGAATGCAACCAAGTTAGGAATCTCGAAGAAGCTGTTTAGGAGCTTTGGAGGCGAAAAGATGAAGATGATAGAGATTTAAATGCAAGCTTGAGAGCATCTGTTGGATTGCCGACTCAGGAAGAAATTTTCGATCTTTCACCTTTTATAGATGATGAAAAGTATGAACCTAGAATACCTAATAATGAATACGGTCGTACTCTAAAGTTCTTTCTTAAGGGGTTAGGTGATAAATCACCAAAAATGAGTAAAGAACATGGAAAAAGATCTTCAAATAAGTATGGTAAGAAAAAAGGGGAAAGAAACATTTTTAATCAAGAAAGTTGAAGCACACCAGAATTCAGGACAGTTGCTGCTGCTTATGACTGCAAGATTGTTGAAGTTTGTTGCAAAGGGCGGATCTGAGTTTGGAACTGTGCCTGATGTTGACTTTGAAGATTTATTTGGGTCTGAGAACCTGACTGTACAGACAGTCCTTGTGGCTGATACTGCACTTCATGCTGTTGGAAAGACGGCTTTTGTTGCTGCTGCTGCTCATTAAGTGCTAACTCTTCAGGTTTTTCCCACTTTCTTTCGCCAGTTGTACTGTTTTAATAATAGTTGTATCCATCAGGAGAAGTATGCTCTGTCCAGTTACATTTAACAGGAGCAGCAAAGACCTGACAATGGACAAATTTGCATAGATCTTTTGACATAGAGGCCAAAGTAGAAGCACGGTGGGTGGTGCTGTCCATTCATCGTTAACTCACACCTCGAGACAAACCAATGAATGAAATTTAAAAACATGAAAATAAGAGATTGCTGGACTTCTGAGGTCTAAAGAAGAAAAGATGGGAAGGTCAAATGTTGCGGCTGATGCATGTCCAATGGTTGGAAAATCAGTGAAAATCAGCTCCAAACAAGGATATTTCTTTACAATTTGGATGAGTCTACTATTCTTAGTGGTTTTCGATATAGAAAGAAGGTTTTCCATATTTCTTTCCATTGAGAAATATAGAAAACCATTAATGATAGTGACAAGAGAATAAGAGAGAAAATAAGAGCTACTATTCTTAGTGGTTTATAGTAGAAAATACAACAAAGTCACGAAGAATAACAGAAGGAATTTTTACCCTATCACTTCGTCGAGTAGGGAGATCAGAAGCTGTTGGAGCACATCCATCGGAAGAGACA